GGCGTCCCACCACACCCGCCTCAGCGGCGGGGACACTCGCGGGTGTCTGCCTACCTTATCGTTACAGGGGTGAAGAGGAGCATCGTGGTGACGTTGTCCAAGAAGGCAGAGAGGACAGCAGCGAGGAGGCACAGCATGAGGGTCATGGCCCACACCCGGCCCCGGGAGAGCTGGTACGCCTGGGTGCACACGGGAAGGAACGGCTAGAATCAGCGTTTCTAGAAAGGATGCTGTTTTCCATCGGTGGCTCTACAGAAGAGGGGCCTAAATAAACACGTGGGGGGCTAAAGCTGAGATCCTCTGGAGTCCTGCTGCTGCTAGGGTAAAGGGCCTGGGAAATTGCCTGGGCTGTGTTTTCTCTTCTCTCTTCCTGATTCTCTGTCTTCACAGTGCCCAGAGATGATTAAATTTGTTACAAAGTGTCAACCGTCAATCTCCTTCCGGTCACCTGGAATTTGATCAACAAATTGCAGCCTGGGCTGCAGCACTGGGGACCTATGTGACTCTGGCATCTGCTAGTCTTTGGAGACCTGACAGGCACTTTTAGGGTTGTGGATTAGGAAAAAGAAGCTAGGTATCTACCTGTAATGTACAAGACGGTGCACAAATGACAAAAATCACAGCATGGGTCTCTTATTTGGAGTTTTCAAAAGGCTCTGTTGAATACGTTATTTTTAAAAGAACATTTCCATCCCCAAAACACTATGGAAGTCAGCACCAGCCTTCGCATTAGCAGGGCACAGCAGGCTCTCCTCTTGCCAGCCACGCATAATGAAGCCAGTACACACTCCGGAGACAGACCCTGCTGTCAGAGCCCACCAAGGCTTCAGTTAAAACTGCAAATTAAAACCAAAATGAGACATCGGTTCACACTGGTTAGAATGGCTTCATAAAAAAGATGAAAGATAGCAAGTGTCAGAGAGACTGCAGAAAAAAGGGAACTCTTACACGGTTGGTGGGAGTGTAAATTAGTACAACCATTACGGAAAACAGTAGGAAGGTTCCTCAGAAACTGAAAACACAGCTTCCACATGACCCAGTTATGCCACCACCGGGCCTATGCCGCCAAGTGTAGTGTGCATGCCTCCACTCAAAGCACCGAGAGAGGCTGAAGCAGGAAGATCACAGATTCCAGTCCCACCCAGGCGACTCAGTGAGATTCTGTGTCAGAGGGAAAATGAAGAAACAGCGATGTACTGCAGTGGCACCGCACCCCTCGGTACAACCTCCAGCACCGCAAAAGGTGGGGAGGGGTTCCTGTCATTTTCAACAATATAGATGGACCTGGAATGCACTGTGGTCAAGTGAAATAAGCCGGGCACAGAAGAGCAAATGCCGAATACTCTCACTTAGATGTGGAATTTTACAAAGATGATCTCACACAAGTGTCGAATAGCGGTGGGTACCAGAGGATGAAGGCTGGTAGGCAGGGGATGGAAAGATGTTGGTCAAAGAGTACAAAGATACAGATAAATGAAAGCAATGGATTTTGAACATACTGCACAAATGCGGTGACTCTACTTAATAAAATGGAGTATAGATTTCAAAATAACTGACAGTAAGTTTTAAATGTGTCACCATGAAAAAGTATATGTGATCAAAATGACAGAAGTAGTAATTAGCCACATTGTGTGTATGTACATGGAAACACCCACTGTACCCTTTAAAGGCGTAGGACTGGGACTGCCGACCAGAAGCAGTTCTCAGCACAGAGTGGAGCTGTGGGTAGAGCACACGCTGAGTGTGCCTGAGGTCCCAGGTTCAATCCTCAACGCCAAAATGTAAACAAGTACATAAGGTCCATAAGGAATCTTTAAAACTAACATTTCCCCCTCATTTAAAAATGGTGAATGTGTAATGTCTGCATTACACATGGAGAAAGTAATCATTGAAATCTTTTACCAAAAAGAAAGGAATCAGAAGCCAATGGCCTGACGTGTTCGGAGATCATAAAATACAGAACAGTGGTTGATGTGCAGCTCCACCAGCCAGCTGTAATCACATGCAGTCGTCCCGCCTGAGTACTCTTTCCCTGGACCTCCGTCCTCATTTATTTATGGAGAAACTCGAAGAGCTGCTCAGAGCCATGCTAAGCACAGTAACTACACAGAGCCTTGTGAAAGCATTTTTGGAAAGGGTGGAATTTTAAAGTATTTGCTTCAATTAAATGATACTTTCATTTGCAAAATGATGAATATATCACATAATTAGCACATAGCTATTAAATGCACATCGCACCTACCTTGACAGCACAATAATCGAAAAATCCAGTTTCTGAAAATATGGCTACTAATATCATCTATAGGGAAAGAGAAAAAGGAGACCGGAGGTTATTCCAGCGGAGGGTCATATGGGAACGTCAGAGCTACGGACTTGAGCCCTGGCCTCTGAAAGCTGCGTGATCAAGCTCTGGAGGTCTTGCTGAAAGGTAAGTTTCTTAGTCTGTCCACTGACTGGCTCCTCAAGTGGAACCTCTTGCAAGCTGCTTGTACTTTGTCCAGGAACTTATCTCTAAGGTACATTGTCCTCTCATTTAATCTTTACAACAAACATCATTACTCTCTAAATTACCATTATTACCCCTGTTTTATAGACCAGGAAGCTGAGGGTCCAAGAGGTAGGTGATTTGCCAGTCCCAAAGCTGGCAGCCAGGAGGAAGTGGGCCAATAGGCGGCCTCCTGCACCTGACCGTCCACAGGAGCAACACTGAGACTTTTCAAGATTTTAAAATTGGGTTAGAGCCAGGCATGGTGGCGCACGCCTGTAATCCCAGCACTCGGGAGGCTGAGGCAGGAGGATCGCTGTGAGTTCGAGACCAGTCTGTTGGTACTACATAGTGAGTTCCAGGTCAGTCTCAACTACATAGTGAGACCCTGTCTCAAAAAAAAACAAACAAACAGAAAAAAAAAAAAAACTGGGTTAGATTTGAGTTCCTAAAGTAATTGAACTCCTTTTTGCAGCCCATTTGATCAAGATATGCAAGTAAGGCAACTGCACTGAAGTGAGTCCCTCCCAGCTCTGTATGAACCCAGAACCTGTGGCTCTACTGATGAGAATAACTTGCTGTAAACAACCATCTTCACTACTAATAAAAAGTAAACACCCAGTTATCCTGAATTTAAGCAACAACCAGCTTAAACTTGCTGAAAGGTTTTCCACTTCATCAGAGGTAAAATACATCATTCCTTTCATTTTTTTCAGCTTGTTGTGTCTACTGTGCCTCCCTTTCTCCATGCAGATGCCGAAACCCTGGTACTTCTCGGGGCCAGCACAGACACGGGTTCCACCATGGAGCCCGAGCTCGGAACTGCATCTTGCTCCTGTACTCCTCCCATCCACCACGTGCTGAATTTAAGGACAAGATGCAGGTTCAAGCACCCATTCTGCCACTTAGGAGTAAGTCAGCCTTGAGGCAAAAAAATTTCTTGATCCTTGTGAACTTCAGGATTTTTACCTCACTTCTAAGTGTTTTGTGCCTTGCTAGGTAGTTGCAAAACTTCAATAAAATTGTATAAATTAAAGTACTTCAAAATAGCAGGCCCAACATTGTCTAATAAAATGTACCAAAAAGAAAAAAAAAAAAAAAAAAACATTTATCCTGTCGAGTGCAGCCTACTGTTCATCCTAACCTGAAAGGCTGCTGTGGGACTGTTTGCAGAATGTGTGATTCACACACCAAGGAAGACCACACAGGCGTGCGTGAGTGCACAAAATGCGTGTGGAGGCCTGCGTGGCCCCATGGATGGCTGACTAACAGAAAACAGGGTAGAAACACAAGAGAACTGGGGATGTACATTTTCTTTGCACCCCTATCATTCTGGACTCATAGAGCCTGCAAGTGGTTGGGGAACCAATCCCAATTAAGAGAAAAGAACACTGAGGACATTGGCATAGGAAAGGACTTTGAACAAATCCTCAGTAGCACAGGAACTAGCAGAAAGAATCAACAACTGGGATCTCATCTTATTAAAAATCTTCTGCACTGCAAAAGAAACCATCAACAGAACTAACAGACAGCCTACAATGTGGGAAAAAAGTTTTTACCAGCTGCTCCTCAGACAAAGGACTATTATCTAGAATATATAAAGAACTCAAAACAGTCAGCCCCGCCAAATATAAAGACCTGATTCAAAAATGGGCATCTGAAATGAACAGACGTTTCTCAGACAAAGAAGTAAAAGCAGCAAGTAAATATATGAGAAAATGTTCCACATCACTGGTCATTCGAGAAATGCAGATGAAAACAACACTGAGATTCCACCTCACCACAGAAAGAATGGCTGCTATCAAGAAATCACGCAATAACAAATGTTGGCGGGGTTGTGGAGAGAAAGGAACCCTTCTCCATTGTTGGTGGGAGTGCAGACTGGTGCAACCACTATGGAAGTCAGTGTGGAGATACCTCAAAGAGCTGGGACTAGAGGTTCCATTTGACCCAGCCATCCCTCTGCTGGGTATCTTTCCAAAAGAATTAAAAGAATCACATCACAGTGATATATGTGCACCTATGTTTAGCGGCACAGTTTGTAATAGGTAAAACTTGGAAACAGCCCATTTGCCCATCAGTTGGAAACTGGATAAAGATGTGTTTTTTCTATAAAATGGAATACTACTCAGCCATAAAGAATGAGGAATTAGATTCATTCATAGGAAAATGGATATATTTTGAGGATATACTCCTAAGTGAAATAAATAAGTCACACATGTGTAAATACTGAATAGTTTCTCTGGTGTGAAAAACTATAATAGTACATAAGATCCTAATGATCTAATTGACAATGTGAAATAGGAAGAAAAGGGCAAAAGGTGTAGGGAAAGTGGGAAGGGTAGGAGAAAGGTAATAAGGGAAAGAAAAAAATATGAGAAAATGAAAAAATGGAAATAAAATGTTTGTAGATGGGGAGGGGAGGAGGGGGTGAAGGGAGGGCATGGACACGGGGAAAAAATGAGAACCAAGACCTGTCATGTAAAGATACAAGATCCCATAATGAATGGAACTACTGTACTATATACCTAAAATGTACCAATAAACTCAAAAAAAAGAAAAAAGTACATTAGGCCATTTTTATGGGCTGAACTGTCTGTCACCCACTCAAATTCGTATGTTGATGTCTTCATCCAGAACACCTCACAATGTACTCTTGGAGGTAGGGGTTTTAAGGGGGCAATTAAGTTAAAATGAGATTATTGGGGTAGACAACCAGTGACCTAGAGCAGTATGACCACTGTCCTCCTAGGATAAGAAGAGAACACCGACACGCTGAGAGGGAAAACCTAGAGGACATGGGGAGGAGACAGCAGTCTACAAGCCAAAGAGAGAGGCCTTGGAGAAAACCAACTCCAAGAACACCTTGATCTCAGACTTCCAGCCTCCTGCTCCTCCTGAAAGGTGGGAAATCAGTTTTTCTGTCACATCCACGGTCTGTGGCACTTTATTGTAGCAGCTCTAGCAAGCTAACACGTCACTCATTTAAATGTTTTTAAATCTTCCTTTCTTCCATCCAGATGCCCAAATCCTGGGTGCTTCTCAGCACTCAACAGAAACATGCGCTCTTCCAGGAAGCCTCAGATCAGGGTGCGGCTCTGCCTCCCCTCCCACAGGAGCAGCCAGCACCTCCTGGGGTCAGGTGAAAACAGAGCAGCGGGATTCTCCACGTATCTTTCAACCCCACGAGGGATCAAATGCTGGCAAGGGTAATTGGACACGCGGTGACCTGCTTTACAGGGTGTTTTCCGGCCCAAGGACACCACCTCTCTTTCAGCTCCCCAAACTATTCTGAAGTCTGTTGAGGAATGCATGAGCCATTCCCAAGGTCGTCTGGCCTTGCCAAAGTCCACTTGTTCTAGCTAAATCCACTTACGATGAATGTTCCACACTAATCCACTTCTGCATTTAAGTTTGATTCATACGAATTGAGTTGGTGACATTTGTCACAGCACATAGCAGAATGGCCACTTGACAATATGATAAATTAGCAAACACAAAAAACTGTCAGAGACCACTGATTCCTTTATAGAATTAAAAGTACTTTTCCAATCGCTGAAACTTTTATACAGTCCTCTCATTTGGGGAGGTGTCATTGCTTTCAAGCATAGTAACTTTTTTTTTAAATGCTAACTTTTCTAAATGGCAATCTTGTTTTATTGTTCCATGGACTTTCAACTGAAACTCTCCAGCTAACTAATCAAAGCACCAGTCATTCCACTGACTCCTAAAGAAATTAGCTGGACTTGTACTGTCGTTTCTCAGTCAAGCTCTAACTGTCAAAAGACATAGCACCTTTAACATAGTGATAGGATGGCGAGCAGCAACACCAGCAAAAGAGAAGGGCCCAGGTTTCAGCAAGCCCGGGGCCATGTCCCACTGGGAGGGCTATAATTACCATGCCAAACAGCAGGGCCAGGGTCTCAAAATCAATCCACTCCACCACCTGGGTCAGGCTGGGTCTCTGCAATCAAAGCACAGATTTGCTAATTAATCCTGTGGCCACCTTCCTGAGGATAAGCTTGAAAATGTGCTGCCCTTTACTATAAATGCACTTGTTGGACCAGAGATGAAAACATATCAGCTGCCCGCTTTTGAAATTGGATTATATTGTTGCTGAAAAATACTTATGACCTGCTGCATCTCTACTGTCAAACCTACAGAATGGCATAATTTTAAGGACCATAACCCTACCTCTGGAAACGTTTTAGGAAGAACTATTGCTCAAATTATATAGGGTTGACCGTTAAGGTTAAGGCTACAGTTTGGAGCTGCAGTGTCCCCCAAAGGCTCATGTGAGCTTGTTCCCCAGATCCTGGTGCTACTGGGAAGTGGGGGACGTTTAGGAGGCAGGTGGCAGGAGGTTAGGTCACGTGGGACATGACCAGAAAGGGGGCTGTCTCTTCCACATGTCAGTCTCTGTTCTTGCTCTCTTTGCTTCCTAGCTCCCACTAGCTGGGCAACTCCTCTGCCACACTCTCCTGCCAAGAGGTACTGCTCATCACAAGTCCAAAAGCAATGGGGCCAACCAACTATGAACTAAAACCTTGAAAACTGTGAGCCAAGATAAACATTTTTTAAGTTGATTGTCTCAGATATTTTGTTATAGCAACACTAATTGACTAAAACAGTTATCTTTCTAGCAGAGTCCACACATGCCTTTCTCCTTGTAATGGCATGAGGCCACATCACAAGTGCTTGGATAGTCTTCTGCCTGAGCCCCATGTGCCCCGACTCTTATGGTCAAAAACAGCAGCAAACCTTTCAGAGCTTTCAGTGATACAGCCTTCTGTGGCACACATGCCATAGGTCCAATGCCACTGGTCTAAAATGTCCCCCAAAGTCCTCATGAGTGGGAAAGGTAACTGGATCAGAGGGTGCTATACTCATCAATGGATGGGTCCATAGCACATGTGACATTAGCAGGTGGCACCTGGCTGGAGGTGGGTCACTGGCTCGTGATCCAGAAGGGTGTATTTTGTCCCTGGCTCTTCCCTCCTCTCTCTGGCTCCTGGCTGCCATGGGTTGAACAGCTTTCCTTTGCCATACTCTTCCACCATGCCAGGACTGCCTCAGAGCCAGCAGACCCTAGGCTGAAACTGGAAGCCAAAATAAACTTCTCCTCCTTTAAGTTTCAAGTGTTGAGCATTTTGTCCCCAGTGACAGGAAAGCGACAGATTTTGGCACAGAGGAAGTGGGATTGTTGTTGTGTCTGTACCTGACCATGTGGTTTAAAAGTCTTTGGAATTTGTTTGCAAATGCTTGGAGATGTTTGGAAAAGCAGAAAGGCTAGAGAATCCTTAGAATGTTGTGAACAGTGGTTGATGTGCAGTGCTGGGCAGAGCTTAGAAGACCAGAGTACTGATACAAATGTAGACAGTAAAGGCCAGGCTCAGGAGATTTCTGGTGAGAGCAAAGACTCCATTAGGAACAAGACTAAAGGACATGTGTGTAATGCCCTGGCATCAAATTTGTCTACATTTTGCCAAAGTTATGAGACTTTTCAGGAGACTGAGGTTAAGGGCGGCAAACTAATCAGGCAGAGGAAATTTTAAAATAGCCCAACATTCAAGTCATGGGATGGATATTGTTGACTGCTTTGAAAATCAGCAGTGAAAAGCCCATTTGAAAAGTTTTTGGTTTCACCAGAAAGGAAGCGCCTGCAAAGTTAAGACAAAAGAGAGCACAGCTGCTGAAAAGATTCGCGTTAAAAGAAGCCAAGGAGTTTGCACCAGGAAAAAAGGAAAGATGGCTCAAAGGTATTTTAGGAATAATCAAGACCCTACCCTTTACAGGCTCAAGAGTGCAAAACTATATAGCTTTCATCTGAGAAGAGATGGCCAGGGTGCTTTGCCCATTCAGGGCCACAGAGGGAAACACTTCCTGCAAGCTCAGCCATCCAGGCTGTTGCAGCCATGATCGCAGGGAGCCTGCCCTTCTAATATTGCTTCAGCTGGTGGCAGATCCTGGCATCATCTATGTGGTGCTGGCTTTTCCGGTATGCAGGAGACAAGAGTTACAGGGTCAGGGAGGCTTCTACACAAATTTCAAAGGAAGACCCGGGAGGCCAGCCAAGGATTTCTAGAGAGGTCATGTGTGAAGCTATGAGAGTGGAACCAAAAGTGTAGTAGAGATCCCAGGAAGTCAGAAATGCCAGGAATGTGGGCTGTCATCAGGCAGTGAGTGGAGCTATACCAAAAGGGGGCCCAATCTCATATGAGCAGGGCCACCCAAGCCCATTGATGCTCATATCTCACCACACACACACACACACACACACACGCACGCACAGCAGAAACAGGATTTAATGCTTACTCTCCTGGCCTTCATTCTTGCTTTGGTTTCACTTCTTTCCATTCCCCCTTTGTCTCTTTTGGAATGGGAATGTTTACCCTATGCCATTGTATGTTGGAAGTATTTAATATTCTTTTTATTTTTATAGGGGCTCACAGCAAAGAGCATGGCTTTATGCCTTTATCTTCAGGATTAACTTTTTTTTTAATATACCAACAGTAGCTAAGAATAAGTTCAAGTTCTTACTGTTACTCTCAGGCAAGGCCTACATCCAAAATTTAAATTAAAAAAATCATAACTTACTCAACTTGCCTTCCAAAATAGGTTTTTTAAACTAGTTATAATTCTCGGGTTGGCTGAATAGCCTCTGGTACCAACTTTCAGAGTAATTCATCAAATTCCATAGAGTTATTTTCCAATCTGGACCTGTGTGTTGTCACATCCGGGAGGCTCTCAGTTCAGTTCCAGAATTGCTTCTCAAACAAGTCTGGCCCCTGTTTCCGGGAACTCTTGGCTTCTCTTATTTCTGTTCTTGTTCCCCATGTCCCTGCCAGCTGGGCTACATCAGGCTTTGACAGGGCACCATCAGCCCTACACTGCATCTCTGGAACCTCTTGAAGTCGCCAAGCCCGAGCCCCAGCTGCCTCTCATCTCCCACCTCTCTGCTCCAGCTCAAATGTCTTAGTGTAGCTCCTGAGAGCCAACAACACCAAATCTAGCCTCACACTGCTGAGCCACACAGACCTGGGCAAACGCACGAGTAGGGTGAGGCTTTCTTCAGCCAAAAGGAGGAGTAAAACTACCTAGATGTGTGCGTAATGAAATCAAATGAAAAACATTCATCGATGCTGCTGTTAGCTCATATCTCTAAGCATGGTTTGGGGCAAAGACATGGAAGTAGTATATAAAAGAATGAAAAACAGCAAGTGCAGCCCACGTTCCTGGGTTTCTTGGGTCTGATGTTATACCCAGTGGTAAAACCAGTGGTTTTGAACATTGCAACTTACATCACCAGTCACAGCCAGAGCCGCTAATGCTGCAAGAGCCCCCAGCATGGCTGCCAGAGTCCTGTGGACGATCTAGAAGGAAACAGGAAATGATTTCATGCCAGGCCACACGGGATCTAACACACACAAAAGCGGGTATTGACACCAGTGTCTACGCTGATTATTGTATGTCGTGCTGTTAAAATGAGAAAGAAAATAAATAAATAAATAAATAAATAAATAAATAAATAAATTTTTTTTAAAAAGAAAGAAGACAAGGTTTCAGTGTTCCGGGTCTAGACACCTCACGGACACCCAACCACCACTCCTCCTTGGAATGGAAGCTTTCATCCCCTGAATACTTAGATGACCCAGACAAGGCAGCAGAAGGTTGGATAAAGTGTGTTCCACAAGGTAACGTGCCGCAAATTATCATTAATTACTTACTGTTTACTCCCTAGACAACTGAACCATTAGTTCAACAACATAGATCAATTCTTCCCAATTACTATTATTAAACCAAAAGCACACAAACACTTAATCTAACTGAGACTCCAATATTAACACTGCGTCATAAAAGGATCTTTTCTGTTTAACTATAATTCAAATGGATGTGAAAATTCTAAGACAAAATATGAGAAAAGGCAAAGATGAGGGGGAGCTGGAGGCCTCGTACGTGGCTGATAGGAATGGATAAGGGTATTGCCACTGTGGGAGAGTCCGCAGTTTCTTTAATAAATTCACCCGGTGATTCACAATTCCACTGGGTACCTACCCACCAGAAATGTAAACGTGTGTCCACATCACACATCAAAATTGGAATCATCCCTAATGTGTGTCTGTAGTGAACAGATACGTCAGTGTAACATACCACAACATAGAATTTACACATGGAACTTTGTAATAGATACATTTAAAATGTGCTAAATGAAAGAAACCAGACACAAACATTTGCATATCATATCATCCCATTTATAGAAACTATCTAGAAAAGGAAAATTTAGAAAAAGCGGTTTCCTAAGACTGGAGGTAGCAACAATGATTGACTAGAATATAGGTCCTCAGGATGCTTATGGGGCTATAGGATATTCTACAACTGGATCATCAAGGTGACAAATTTAGAAAAATAACAGTGCACTCCCAAATGGTGAAATTATGGAATTAAATTACACCTCAATAAAAATGATAAAAAATACAAAAGGAACTTGGTGAGACTGAGTATAGAATTAAACATCAGCAGAGAGTATTTATTTATTAATACCATAAAATAATTTTAATCTGATTGTTCTATGGCTTCTACCTCACAGAACCTGACATTCTTATCAGTAATAATCTGAAACTCAAATTCTGAATAAGATCATTTCATTCATAATTTATTTTTCTAGATTCAAAGCTAATTTTTAGCTATGCATGGCTTTGCAAGAAGAGGAGGAGTCTGAGGTGGCTAGCTTGCTCTGTCCCCGTGTGAAGCCCTCTGCGGTGACCTGATGCAGCAAGAAGCTTTACCAGACGCCAGCACTGTGGCTCCTGGACCTCCCACCTCCACAAGCTCACCCAACCTCGGGTACTGTATTATAGCAACAGAAAGTGGGCTAAGATGGGAAATAAGGGTGTTATGGACAGTAGAATGGAGACAGAATTCTCTCTGGGATCTCTGCAATCTCAACCTGTTGCGTGCTCTTTTCTTCTAACCTAACTTTTTGGTTGACTTCACAGGGAATAGAGACTTTCAGTAGCGATCTCACCGTTAGTCACCAGTCAGCTATATTGGAAAGCAGCAGAAATAGCCAACTTTGTTATTGGGTGCCTACTGCGTACCTACCGGCACTTATTAAATGCTTTACAGATTTTCATATCATGGACTTTTCACAATTACCAATTAAGTAGAAACCACCATCACAACCCAACTTAAACATGAGGAAACGGAGTCTTAGAACGCTGAGTCATTTTCCCCATGTGGTAAGGCAAAGAAGACGCAGGGGTAGACCCAGCATCTTCTCCCTCTGGGCACCTTCTTTCTACTGGAGACGAGCTGTCCACTCTTCTGTAAAACCAGAACCCTACATCGATGCCTCGAGAAGCTTTCGGTTCTGGAGGAGATCTGTGGCCATGCAGAGAATGGAGTCTTAGCCCATTGATACACAGAAGAGCAGACCTGGAAACAGGAAGCCGCAGCTGCAGACACAGCACTGATCTCCTCACCCACCACAGCTCTCGGACAATGGAGGGACAGGTCATGACCTCACTGACAGCACAAGCACCATCACCGAGCTCGCCAAGCCCACTGCCACCATCAGCTCCCCTCTCCCCTGGACAGCACGCTGGCCCTCTAGGTGCATGCTGGCCTGTAGACAACACAATCACAAGCAACTCTCATGCATGTGGACACAGCCAGCCCTCACTAAGAAACCCAGCCTTCCACCAAATCCTTCCACTGTCTGGAGCCCCACACATCGCAGGAAGGAGAAAACTCTTCCATTGTGAGAAAATGATGACCAGGGGTTGGGGCTGTAGCTCAGCAGAAGGCACATTCTTAGCACAAGCAAAGCGCTAGGCTCCATCTCCATCAACAGAAGGAGAAAAATGAATCAGCCTCAGGTAGGTGGAATCAAACCTTTTTAACTAAATGGTCTCAGAAGATGAGATTGCTTTAGGTGATTACGTACATCCCTAAATTACTCCGATGAGGAAAAATAACTTCTCTACTCTGAGGAATAATAAAAATGTGAGTCAAAATGCTAAAATCAATAAAAATGCTTAAAATGTATTTTAAAGGATTGCGTAAAGTCCTCTTCCCCAATGTGTGTTGGAAACCCAGCGTGCTTCTTACTACAGCCAAAGCCCTCTCAGGACACAGAAAGCTGCACTAGCTTCGCACGCCTGCAGCACGGTGGCCGCCTTCCCACCTACTCCTCATCAGCTGAGCCTACAACGCCTGCTCCTATCTCTTTAACACTGTACAGGCTGAGAGTGTCGTGAGGGCAGAAACGTAAAGTACCTCCCTCGGGTTCTCCTCACTGCTCAGAAGAGCAACCAACAGCAGAAAACCAATGAACGAAGCTGCAAGTAGAAGAGAAAAGTAGGAGCGAAAAGAGTCCCGGGACAGCCCCACAGCGTCTTCTCTAAAGTTATCCAGAACACCGCCAAACTCCCCAGCACACAGGGCGTTAGATGCGGCAAGGAGTTCTCACTCTCCAGACCTGGGGCCTGCGGAGGAAGTCTAGAGAGAGATTCCATGCAAACGGCGATCAAAGAAAGCAGAACTCATTAAAGGCAGATCAAACCAATTGACTCAGAGTCAAACCTGACCCTAGAGACACTGTGAAACGATAAAAGCTTGAATTCAACAGGAATATTAAAAAAGTATCCACAGTACACAGCCAGAATTGCAGCATCTAATTATACAAAATAAATGTTGACAGATCCAAAGCGAGAAACTGACAGCCTCGCTGTAACAATAGGGGTCTTCAGGGCTTCACATGCAAGAACAGATAGAACATTTCAGACAGAAAACCAGTTTAGGAAAAGAAGTAAACTTGAATGATGCCTTTAGACCACGTATACCTAACATACATATTCAGAACTTCCCACCCAGCAGCAGCAGCAGAGGAGACATTCTCCTGAGGCACACACAGAGCATACACAGGATATGAGAAGCGGATGTTGCACACGAGATAGGTCCTATGTTAGGTCACGCACCAGTATTAGATTTTAGGAGGAGCAGAACATATCAATTATCTTTTCTAAACACAATGAGCAATCAATAACAAGGAAATAGGAAGAAGATTCACAAATATTTGGAAATGAAATGCACATGTGAATAATAAATGGTTCAAAAAGAAATGAGTGATTATCTTAAGACAAAAATGGAAATACACCAACCAAAACTTACAGACTACAACAAAGTATCTTAGAAGAGGTACTGTTAGCAATGCCTACACTAAAAAAAGAAGAAAGATCTCAAACAGCCTAACTTTACATCTCAAGTAAAAAGGAAAAGAAAAATAAACTAAGCCCAAATTTACAAGGAAGGAAGTTATTAGAATTACCACAGAAATAAGTGAAACAGAGACTAGAAAGAAAATTAAGGTCAGAAAAAATGAGTTGATTTGTGAAAAGACAGAATTGACAAGCCTTCACTATTCTGAGCAAGAATAAGAGATTCAAATAAATAAAATCATAACTGAAAAAGGAGACTCCTACTGATATCACAAGAATACAAAGAATCATGAGAAACTACTATGAATAATTATGTGCCACAAATTGGATAACCTAGAGAAATGGGTAAATTCCAAGAAAAATGCAACCAACCAAAGCTGAATCAAGAAGAAATCGAAAACCTGAACAGACCAATACTGAGTAGGGAAGGAAGCAGGATGAGGAACTCCCCACAAAGAGAAGCCCAAGACCAGCTTTCACAGGTGAGCTTTCAATAAACATTTAAAAGAGTTATGCCAGCCATTCTTAAATTCTTCCAAACACATGAGAAAAAGCACTTCCAAATCCATTTTATGAGACCAACATTATCTTTATATAGCAAAATTCAACATCCTTCTATGATTTTAAAAAAAAAGGTTCTTAACAAATCAAGTGTAGAAGGAATGCTGGAAAAACTAAAGGCATGGACACAGCCTATAAATGGGCCGCTGGTGCTTGCTCTTTTCTAAATATTACAAAACATACTTCTATACTGGAATAAAATCGCAGTGTCTGAGTTACATTCATGTTGAAGAAACTGCAATCTTATTATCCTTCTTTCCCTGATGGACATTTCAGGTACTTACATTCTTAGAGCCAACATATATAATTTTCTTCTCAGTAATTTTCTGGAATTCAAATAGGCAAAATCCCAGCAGTCAACTACAATATTTCAAAATTTTTACATGCTCTCACGTGACCATCCTTGCCAAATTACTGTTCAAAACGGTATTCTGAGTTATACCTTGATCAGCCCCAGGGGTCTTTATAAGGCCTTCTCCTATTTAACGTCATTGGCAACATGACATTTGCCTCTGTCTCTTACCATAAATTATGTGTCAGAAGAAATGCTTTTAAATTTATCAGAAAAAATTAATAACAACAGTTCTTTTGTT